TCTAACTAAGCATCCTGTCTCTTCTAACTAACCATTCTGTTTCTTCTAACTAGCCATCCTGTCTCTTCTAACTTAGCATCCTGTCTCTTCTAACTAGCAATCCTGTCTCTTCTAAATACCCATCCTTTCTCTTCTAACTAACCATCCTGTCTCTTCTAACTAACCATCCTTTCTCTTCTAACTAACCATCCTGTCTCTTCTAACTAACTATCCTGTCTCTTCTTACTAAGCATCCTGTCTCTTCTAACTAGCCATCCTGTCTCTTCTAACTAGCCATCCTGTCTCTTCTAACTAGCCATCCTGTCTCATCTAACTACGTATCTTGTTTCTTTAAACTAACCATACTATCTCATCTATTTCTAACTAACCTGTCTATCTCTATTGTTATCTATCTTAATCCACTCTAGATGAAGACATCCTTAAAGCCCCTTGGGACTTTCCTGTCTATCTATCTATCTATAATCCCTCTGGGGAAATGTCTCTATTTGTCATTATATACAAATCTTTGGAAACACCCCCAGGTCCCGGTCCCCCTCTAGAGCAGGGGAATTTAATCAAATAATGAGAACATTTTTTTTGTATAACCTCTCGATTTCTTTTATTTAAGAAACTGTAAAAGAAAAATGAAAGGGGTATATGCTGAAACCTAAGAATTATATCAATTTCTCGAAACAGGAACATCAGTTAGAACTCTTATGAGTCTCGATCAACTTCTTAAATGCTTAGGTTTCAGCCTTTCCTTTATTTAACTAAGAAGTCAGACCAAATCTTAAAGGCGCTGTTCTTTTAGATTTAATTTCGCCTTATATTTTAAGAGATGGTATGTCTGATTCACAATATAATCCTTTAAACCTTTAAACCTTTAAATTATATTAACACAAGTTTGATAGTCGTAATAAGATGTTTTCATCTAACCCTTGTACATTTACGCACTATCCTTTATCTATCTTTTAGTATATCTATTTGCTGTTATCTGAACATCTATCTATCTTTAGATCTATCTTTGCATTTATTTTATAAGTGTATGCGTGTGGTAAACCTAAAGACAGGATAATTGCATCCCTTGAAACAACCTTTAATTAATTGTTTTCAACCCCAGGGTGTCCTAGTATTAACTGTTTAGGTTACAGGGTGCCTTTGTGATTAAAGTTTATACTACAGGGTGCTGTATTCTGAAGGTGGGTTAGGTTTCTTAGTTCCTATTGTACCCTGGAGGTTTCCTAGTTCTTATTGTACCCTGGTGGTTTCCTAGTTCCTATTGTACCCTGGAGGTTTCTTAGTTCCTATTGTACCCTGGAGGTTTCCTAGTTCTTATTGTACCCTGGAGGTTTCCTAGTTCTTATTGTACTCTGGAGGTTTCCTAGTTCGTATTGTACCCTGGAGGTTTCTTAGTTCCTATTGTACCCTGGAGGTTTCCTAGTTCTTTTTGTGGCCTGGAGGTTTCCTAGTTCTTATTGTATCCTGGAGGTTTCCTAGTTCTTATTGTATCCTGGAGGTTTCCTAGTTCTTATTGTATCCTGGAGGTTTCTTAGTTCCTATTGTACCCTGGAGGTTTCCTAGTTCTTTTTGTGGTCCTGGAGGTTTCCTAGTTCTTATTGTATCCTGGAGGTTTCCTAGTTCCTATTGTATCCTGGAGGTTTCCTAGTTCTTATTGTATCCTGGAGGTTCCCTAGCTCCTATTGTATCCTGGAGATTTCCTATTTCCTATTGTACCCTGAGGGTTTCCGAGTTCCTATTGTACCCTGGAGGTTTCATAGTTCATATTGTAGCCTAAAAGTTTAGGTTTCCAATTTCCTATTTTATCCTGGATCTTTCCTAGTTCCTATTTTATCCTGAAGGTTCCTAGTTTCTATTTTATCCTGAAGGTTTCCTAGTTTATATTGTATCCTGGAGGTTTAAGTTTCCTAGTTCATATTGTATCCTGGAGGTTTAGGTTTCCTAGTTCATATTTCATCCTGAAGGTTTAGGTTTCCTAGTTCCTATTATATCCTGAAGTTTATGTTGAATATAGGCTGATTATGGTGTAGTGGGTTCAAAGTATTGTTTACATGATTTATCTATTATCCCGCCTGTATTCAAGGTATTCAAGTAGACCAGGGTCTAGTAGGGTGGTCTAGTGCTCTTTATTTATCTTTAATCAACAACTACTCCTCCATAAACGTTTATAACATAATTATCTTCCCTCTACCATGCAAACTCATGGGATAGAAATACCGAACCCCACACAAAAAAAGAATGGTGCTAATTACAAAACGCCAAAAAAGCACATTTTTTTTCAATTTCAATTTCAATATAATTATAGATATAAAATACAATTTTTACACCAAAACTATGCGAAAAGTTGCGAACTATTAATGAATAATGAAGATATCTTAATATATTCTGAAATAAAATCAGAAAGAGCAAGGAATCGATTTTAACGGGGAGATAATTTTACGCTACAAGGGACCTATAGCTAACAAGGGGATTTGGCATGCTGAAATATGTAAAAGGTATACACTGAACAAGTATTTATATTTCAGTAAAGTATGTTGTCTAAATTTTGCGGATCATTGGATTATAGGTGGAGTAGAAGTAGGATAAAGATTCCTCCAAATACCCCCTCTCTTCTATTCTGTCCCCACCCCCTACCTCCCTCTTCTATTCTGTCCCCACTCCTACCTCCCTCATCTATTCTGTCCCCTCCCCTGAAAGTTTTAGAATAAACCTCGTAATCCTGATCTTAACATACTAAGGAGGGATTACAGGGATATACTAGACTACACCAGACAGTCAGGGGTTTACTATATACCTACTACACAGATCTATCCAACTTTCTACCTATATCTTTTTTCCACTCATCATTCAATTTACATTTCAAGTCAAAATTGCTCCCTATGCTTACTGTTTACTTGCGACTGATCCAAATTAATAAAAGCTGAAGATTCAACTTGAACTGTAGTCAGGGGTCAGAGTCAAGTTTAACTTCAAGTTTAAAAACAATAAGTTTATCTATTTCTATCCGAGTTTAACTCTGGTTAAATCAGCGTGATACAATTCAGATGTACAAACTTGGGTTTTCAAAACTTTTATTCTATAAGATAACAAACCAAAAGGTAATTAATATCTTCACTCAGGGTCAAAATTTGACATGGTGTTATGCAAGAAATTGTTAAGAAAAAACGATTTTTATTAAACCGAATGAGCTAAAGTCGTACCAAACAGGTTACAATTTGTGTGCCCTATTAGGCATGCACTAAACTAAATCAGAAATAGTTTCCTAAGATTATCACGAAGTCGTCTCTTAATTCCCATGGTTTATTTAAACCCCCTTCATGTAAATGTTCATAAATCAAAACCTAAAGGAAAGGGAAAATTATTAAAAATTGAATGAGAAATATGTTATGTATTCTCATACGGACACAGGTATACAAACTGTAATATATTTGATTAAGTAATTCTGGTAATAGTTCCTTTATACAACACACATACACATACTTTCTTCATTCATTTCAGAATATTTATCTTTTCATGCTGAGTTCTAAGCAAATATATCATAAGATTATTAAATGGATAGATGAATATATAGATGGATAGATAGATCTGCCACGAGTGTATAGTGTGTATAATGCATGTATGGGAAAGCAAGGGCTGGCTGGAACTAACTAATGGCTGGTTATCATGACTAAATTAATCTTACTCTTATACATTCATCAACTTATTCATCCATTCATCCACCAGTCTTTCCATTCTTGCATCCTCCCTATTTTCTTGCTTTCGTCAAAAAGTTTTCGAAATCCAAAATTTACATTCATAAACTTCTAAATAATATTTCATAATATGTGCGATCATCTACAGTGGTGGGCGATTATATCAATACAATATAAACGACTTTTGATTTCAATTATGATTTATATAAAGCTTTAACACATTATTGATACACATAAAAATAGAAACATAAAGAAGCTGTCAATTAAAAATGTTTCTCTTTGATTACTTGTAAACTTGTATGACAAAAAAAGCTTGTCAACAATTAAAACTTAAATAAAAAAGTCGTCTTTATTGTATTGATATCATCAAGTACTACTATATATTCCTGAAGATGTACCAACTTTTGTTTTCAATAATTTATTCCATAATGTATGCTAACTTCTATATTCTATGATGTATACCAAATTCTAAATTCCATAATGCATATCAACTTCTAAATTCCATAATGTATACCGACTTCTATACTTCATAATGTATACCAACTTCTATATTCCATAATGATACCAGCTTCTTTATCCCATAATGTATGCCAACTTCTATATTCCATAATGATGCCAACTTCTATGTTTGATAATGAATGCCACTTCTATATTCCATAATGATGCCTACTTCTATGTTTCATAATATATGCCAACTTCTTTATTCCATAATGGGGCCCACTTCTATATTCCATAATTTATACCAACTTCTATACTTCATAATGTATACCAACTTCTATACTTCAAAATGTATACCAACTTCTATACTTCATAATGTATACCAACTTCTATATCCCATAATGTATACAAACTTCTATATCCCATAATCTATACCAACTTCTAAATTCCTTAGTGCATACTTAGTGTATACCGACTTCTATATTCTATGATATATAGCAAATTCTAAATTCCATAATGTATACCAACTTCTTTATTCCTAGTGTATACCGATTTCTATACTTCATAATGTATACCGACTTCTATACTTAATAATGTATAACAATTTCTATATTCCATAATGTATACCAACTTCTATATCCCATAATGTATACAAACTTCTATACTTCATAAAGTATACCAACTTCTGTATTCCATGTATACCAACATCTATTTTCCATAATATGTACTAACTTTTCTATTCTATAATGTATACCAACTTCTATATTCCATAATGTATACAAACCTCTATATTCCATATTCCATATGTATACTAACTTTTATGTTCCGAAATGTTTCCTCTCAACTACAGTCTTCCTTTCAAATTAAAAATAATTGATATTTAAGATTTATATGATTTCTAATATGTGTTGTTGAAGTCAAATTACATAAATAAAAATCGGCAAGTGTTATAATATTATCTTAGATGTATAACACATTGTGTTAAAATGGTTAAAATACTAGAGGAGATGCACTGACGCAGGTGATATGAACCCACGCACGAGGTTGTGTGATTTCTAATAAATAAGAGGTTGCGAGAATTCTTATCTATAGGGTGTCCCAAAAAACATGGGAATTCAGTGACGAATTCGATATCGTCATTGTTATGAATTAGCATTGTAATACCTAATTTCAAAAGCCATAATATTATGTCTACTTGAGTTTATTTTATGAAAAGGGTAAAAGACTGTTAAAATGTGTCTATAATGTCTCCGCAAGATGAACAGTGAAGACGGCAAGTTTACTAAGTTTGTATACTGCAATTTTTTTGTATTACTAAGTTCAACCGTATGCAGTCAAAACATAAACCAACAAAATGTGAACATAGCAGACAAAACTCTTACAGATTACAGCTTTCTCAGTAGGTATCACTAAAATAAATCAAAGAATAATTTATCGTATTCGTCACTGAATTCACATGCTTATTGGGACACCCTGTACCACACAAATTCAATGGTAGGGTTTGTTGGACGTTCGTATTGTTTAGACCAAAACAAAAATTTATCAAGAAACTATTTAATCCTAGAGGAACAAAAAGAAAATCCATTGGAATTCCGTTTTTGATCTTGAGGAATTCCGATAGCAGATGTAACAGATGTACTATTAAACAATTCCAATTAATTTTTTTATTCAAAAGTTTTTAACCCTAACTTTGCATTAAATATTCGAAATTCAAATATAAAAAATACCATGATTTTAGTTTTATTTAATTCATTATAATTTGTACGTGGATCAACAATGTCCAAGTTAGGCAAACTATAAAATCTAAGGAGTTCTGAGTGAACATTGCATTTTATTTTTGTAAAATTTGTAAATTTGTCTTCAAGTTTAAGAAATGAAATCTTCTCCAAGTTCTTCTTTAGTCATTAGATTCAGCAATTTGTTTTCTAAAAAAAAATGATATTATCAGTCAATTTCTTCAATAAACATGGAAATTAAAAGACGATTTTCATTTCGTATTTGATATATGGGACATTTCTGCAGATACAATAATAAAAAAACCAACATATATATCAATCTTGGTGTTTAAACATGTGGTTCCATATTCATACCAGTAAAGTTGACAGAAATGAATATAAAGGAATTGAGTCATTGCCACAAACTCTGATTTTCTCCTCCCTATATCTTTGGAAGCCAATTTCGTAGACATTAGATATTTCAAACTATTAATTCTGGTAGATAAAAAATTTTGAGTTTGAAATATCAAAGGTTTACACCATCAGGTTGCAAAGATAAAGAGATTCGAAATTTTGAGTTTGTGGCAAAAACTCAATTCCTTTGTTTGGTTTGGATCCCACTTAACCAAAACAAAACCGTGTTCATATATAAAACGATCTCCGTCAATTTTGAAGATGCAAATAACGAAAACCTCATATCACGTAAAAACCGTTTATGATCCGAGCTTGATCATTTACCAATTTACCAACCATAACTAAGCAATAAAAGGCAATTTGGAAGCCGCATGTAAAGAAACTAAAATAATCTCCCAGAAAGAAAATAATTTTTACCTAATATAATTTCTTGATTCTCCCAGATAAAAGAAGTTGGGGGATTCTCTTCGCCCTTATCAAACCTTAAAAATTTAACCATTTAAAAAAATAATGTATTTGATTTAGTTTAATTAAGTTTGAAAAACTTTTGGGAAAATAACACATTATAAACAAGACAAGAATGGATTTTAATAAGGAATTTATTACAAAATCAAATTTTCACAACTTTCACTAAAAATTTCATAAGAACTCGAAAAAAACTTTTTTTTACGCTCGAGAGGAGTATGTATGATATATGTGCTTAGGATCCAGATCGCAATATTTTTGCCCCCTGGATTCGGATCCAGGGCAACTCATCAACCAAAGCCTGATAACAAAATATTTTTGCTCCCAAAACAAAAATCTCAATTGTTAAATGACAATAAATAATAAGAGATGTATAAAACTACCTAATCTCCGAATGGTGGTTCCTTAAGTTTCGGCATAATAATAACCAACCAAATTAAATGGATCTAATATCATGCAGATCTGTCGCTTTAATTCAACATAGAACTAATAGAAGTGTAAAGTCTGACTGCATCAACCTTGTTGCATGAGCTAGTCCTGTACACAGAGCTAGCCCAACTTTGTTGGTGAACATATAAAATGCCTTATTTTGCTGAAAAATAGGTGAATTTTTTTATTATCATAGGTATGTATGGTAGTTAGCAGATACTTTTTTATTATAAGTATAAGAATTTTCTGTAAAAATATTATAAAAAAAAAATATTTAGCAAGAAATTCAACTTTAAAAATCTTTAAATTGCCTTTTTTTTCTTTAAGACTTGCTTAAGCTTTTTGTCTTAGAAGTGACGGTAGTTTGAAATTGAAAAAAAAAAATAATAAATGTTGAATTTAAGATTTTGAAAAGTCAGTGGTAGTGAGGGTAGCTTTTAATTTAAATAAAATTCTTGAATAAATGTTGATCAAAAGTTTTCAAGAAGTGGGTGGTAGTGAGGGAAGTTTGGAATTGAAAAAAATAATTGAATAAATTTTAATAACAAAGTTTAAACAAGTCGGTGGTAGAGAGGGTAGTGTGAAATAAAAAAAAATTCTTGAAAAAATGATGATATGTAGATTTTAAAAAGTGGGAGGTTGTGAGGGTAGTGGGGAATTGAAAAATAAATTATTGAATAAATTTTGATAAAAAAGTTTCAACAAGTCGCTGGTAGTAAGGGTAGTTTCAAATAAAAAAGTTCTTGAAAAAAATGTTGATATATAGATTTTAAAAAGTCGGAGGTAGTGAGGGTAGTGGGGAATTGAAAAATAAATTCTTGAATAATTTTTGATAAAAAAGTTTAAATAAGTCGGTGGTAGTGAGGGTAGTTTGAAATAAAAAAATTCTTGAAAAAATGATGATATATAGATTTTAAAAAGTCGAAGGTAGTGAGGGTAGTGGGAAATTGAAAAAATAAATTCTCAAGTTGGATAGATGTACTTAGCAGGGTTCCACAGGGATCTGTACTTGGACCTCTTCTCTTTGTTATCTTTGTTAATGACATAGATGACTGTGCAGAAAACATTGATATTTTATAAAAGTTCGCAGACGATACTAAATTGGGACATAATGCAAGTAGTATAGAAGAATGTATAAAAACCCAAGAATGTTTAAATAAACTTATAAAATTGGGCTAACACTTGGAACATGAGCTTCAATATTTCCAAATTCAAAGTACTTCATGTTGGTCACAACAATCTGAACCATTTATACACAATTAATGGTACACCCCTGGAAGTTACAACAGTAGAACGGGATATTGGTGTTAAAATTTCTTCAAATTTTAAACCCTCCGCCAAGTGCATAGAGGCTTCTAGAAGGGCAGGGGCAATTTTGAACCAAATAACAAGAGCCTTTTTATACAGAGATAAGCGTACATTTCCCCAAATGTACAAACAATTTGTGCACTACCACTTGGAGTTTGCGGTACCAGCTTGGTCACCCTGGCTGCAAGGAGACATAGAAACTCTTGAAAAAGTTCAGCGCAGAGTCAAAACCTTGTGGTTGGACTTAAAGGTAGGACCTATGAAGAAAAACTTGCAGAACTGGGAATGAGAACATTAGAAAACAGAAGAAAACGCCTTGATCTAGTCCAAATTTTAAAAATAATTAAAGGTATTGACAAAGTTGAATCAAACTTAATGTTTACCACTGTTGGAGACCAAAACTCAAGATTGACCCGTAACACAGCATACACTCATACAGTAACAACCTCATAGCGTCGAGATCCAGGACAGATTTAAGAAAGCATTTTTTCCCAAACAGAATTGTCACACTCTGGAACTCCACACCAACAGACTTAAAAGGTTCACGTACTCTAAACATCTTTAAAGCTGGACTGGAGAAATTAAATATCTAAACCTTGAGCCAGGAACAGTGTTTTTAAAAGCTCCCTAACCTGTCTCCTGCATGGTGGGCCACTGTTCTGAGAGGAAACCAAACTGATGTCTGCCCCATGGACCCAGAGGGTCTTCTGCAGACTACAAATATCAAGTAAATCAAAGTAAGTAAGTAAAATCTATATATTGTAGCGACGAAAGGAATAAGACCAAATGAATAAGACCAAATAAACTGACTGAATATATATTTATCAAAAACAGTATTTATACTAGATGCAGTATATCATAATCTAAACAATAACA